GCGTGCGCGCCGCGCGCCTTCTCCCTGCGCGGTGGACCCCGGCCCACCCTGCAGTGTCTCTTCCCGCACGCGGTTATCGTCAAGCAGAGATGCACACCCCCCAGGGCAGGAGCCGACCTCCCAAATGTAGATGCGGGCAAGAGCAGCACCATTCGAGGAAAGCCCTGTGGAAGTTTCTCCGTTTTCCGGCTAAGACGCACTTCCCTCCTCCCGGAAAAGAATGGTCTACATATTCTCGCTCCCAGGAGTGGGGTGGCAGCAAGGAGGAGGCGATGCCAAAAGATGACTCAATACTGCGGCGGTTCGGGGGCGCCGCGGATGCGCACGTGACGGGGTAGGACCCAGGGCTTTCGGCACTTGACACTCGCCAGTGTAGACCAAGAACGCCTTGGAGGTGCGCTCTGTAGTCAGTCCGGACCTCCCAGGGAGGCCTGAAGGAGTCAGGCTTGGGAAGAAACCGCCCGATGTGCGGGGTCGCACGGACGGTGGGACCCACCTGGGGTGATCAGAGAGGGCTTCCTGGAGGGGCCCGGGCACTAGGAAGGCCAGACCCCTCACGGTAACCCGCGGGAAGGCAGCAGGTGTACAGAAACACTCCTCGCCTCTAAGCTGGCCCATAGGAGGGAGAAGGCGGCTTTTCTCTACTGAGACACCATCGCCTCTGTGGAAAATTTAACTCAGATTATTACCAAATGCGGAGGTAGAAGGACATACCAGTAACCAAATGCCAAAGCCTGGGCATTTGGGGGCTCCCTGCTCTTCTAGGGCCGGGTTATCCTCAGGCAGCGAGGCACATGCCCCCCAGGGGAGAAGCTGACCCCCAGGTGAACATGCAGGCAAGAACACCACCACCGGAGCAGGTCCCACTGGTGGTTTCTCCTTACCGATTAAGACACCCTTCCCTTCCCACTTCCTCCCAGAAAAGAGAGTCTGCATTTTCTGGTCTCAGTAGGACAGGCCAGGGGTTCCAAGTGTAGGACCACCCTCTTCTCTGGGAGGTTCTACACACAATGGCGGGTTTCACCAGTGGGTGCATCCGCTCATCCAGCCACCCTCAGGGACCATCTCCTCAGTCTGCTTAGAATACCACAGATAAACACTGTCCAACAAAGGAGAGGTTCTGGATGTTTCCAAGGGGGGACGGGGGAGGAGATGGCAAGAGGTGGGAGCTGTTGTGGCTCAACCAGAGCTGGGATGTTGACCAAACACCACTAGTGATCCAGCGTGGTGCTGCAGGAGTGCGAACTGACAGCTTTCCGGGCAACCAGGCAGCCTGGGCTCCCCCCGCATGCACGCAAAGACAGGCAGTGAGGATCTGGCCCTTCTCCTTGAAATTGATTCCAAAAGAAATAGGATGGCTGCAAAAGAAATGTTTCTGATTTAAATAGATTAAAATTCTATTACCAATTTAGAAGTGTCCAAATTTCCTGCAGCATGTCTTTAATCCACTCTAGTTAGGTCAGAAGTCTCTCAATTTAATTTTTAATTATAATAAACAATTTTTTCAAAATCATATGAATCCCCTAAGTTCTTAAATATGATAAATACCAAGAGTCACAATTTTACCAAGGATATCATGGTTTTCTGGTACCCAGGAATGGATGTTGAGACCATTTCCTTTAACCTTTTAATACCTATGATTAGGTCACCAGGAAATCCCCATGTTCCTATAGTCCTGAATCCCATTCTCCTACATTTCTATTACCTGTATCCAGTCCAGTCACATCTAGTTCCAGGCACGGCTCCTTCTGTCAGCTCATCACCAGACAACAGAAGGCAAGCGGGGTGAGGGGAGGTGCTGCCTCACCCAATTCTGCTCCACCTGCTGTTGGCTGTGAGAATTTCACACATCATTATAATTTCTTGGCCTTTTAAAACCTATGGCCCTTTTGATACCCAAACCTCTCAGTCAGGCTGGCTCGCTTCGTAGAGGTGCCAGTCCCACTTCAATCACTGATGGCCAAATATGGGCCTGTGCTGTGTTGTTACAAAAATTGGACTTACTGTCCAGTTTCTAACAGTGAATGTTTTGCAATTTGCTAGCAGTGACCTTGGGCAAATTACTTTGCAGCATTAACAGCTATGTAATATGGACTTCGACAGCATCTTCACAGGGCTGATGTAAGAACTAATTGGTATGTGCCCAGTCCATCCTTAGTGATTTTCTTCTGGGGACAGGAATTGGTTTAACAAACCAAGATCAATGGCTATGACCTCGGTGCCCATTACAGAGCCTAGTCCGTAGGCAATGCTCGGATTGTTGCATGACCCCTGGGGGACCATGTGGGAAAATCCTTACTCTAGACTGCTAGAATGTGCCATCTTCTCTTGTTCCTTTTTGGTATGACTAAGGCCACAGTACCCTGCCCACTGATCTGCAGAAGTGGCCCCTGATCTTGCTGCCTCAGTGAAAACATTCACTAATGACCAATTCCATCTGTGTCCATGTTCTGGAGGCTCCCAGGGGGTGGACTCCATGTATCTTTCACACACCGTTGTATGCCTGGGTGCCAATCATGGGGCTTGGCACTCTAAGGTCCAAAGAGGAGCGGTTGTGTTCAGACTGGTAGCATCTGGGGCCTCTGGCTTTGGCTGCTTTGTGCATGCTGCCCACAGCTCTGCAGCCTTCACCCTGGAGCTTTCACTTAGATTGCTACCACCACTCCTGACACCCCAAATGAACCCTCACAATCAGGAACCAGATTCCATTTCCTGTCCTCAACCCTTGGGCCTAAACTACAAACACTTGAGTCTGCTCTTTATAACCCAGGTCCCCTGTGAAGACATGATTCCCTCTGCCATAGTCCATGGCATTATGCCCCCACATATGCTTTGGAGAGACTCAGGGGCCTTCCGAATAAGGGGCTCAGGGCCTTCAGCAGGGGCTGCAGGGCATTTGAATCTATACCCTACCACAATGGAGAGATCCGACTGTGGTGGGGAACGGTTTGGCCTGTACCCAGGGAGGGAGAGGAGAGCCCAAACTGCTAGGATATTGTTCCACTGCCCTCCACAGGTGCCCTCTCCCCAGAAAGCACAGAAAGGGAAGAAAGGCAGAGCAGAGTCAGGCTGGTGGGGCCTTCCAGCCCTCTGGGGAGGGGTCCGACCAACAGGAAGGGCCCCCATTTGGTGCTCAGTGGCCACAACCCCTTGGGGCGTTAGCTCAGGAGGCTACTTGGATCCTTCAAAGACAAGACACATATTTTTATAATCAGAAACTTTCAGTTTATTTTGAATAAACTACTCAATTTTGAGCAGATGACATTACCTCAACTTTTTCTTTGAAGAAAACAAAGATATATGGTAAATTCATGAAAACACAGTGCCTTTATTTTTCTATCCTTTGTAGGGCAGAAAAGTTCTGTCTGACCTTTCCCATTTAGGACAACCACTGGGGGCACAGCAGGAAGCTCTCCACAGGTCACGGGCTACGGGCCATGGTCTGGGCACAGAACCCCCTGCAGTGCCAATGGCTGGGGCCACAGCTCGGATGCAAGTGTATCACACTGTAGCTGTGCAGTCCAAAAAATGCCCAGAGATGCCCAGGTGTGACTTAAGGTACAGAGCTGCTACTCGGTCCTGGGCCACGGCGGCAACACAGAAAGGTGAGAGGTAAGATGCCAGGATCTTCCATGTGCCGACACAGCATTCACACCCCGCCCCTCGGAACCGCAGCCGGCACTCCCCTTGTTCAGTGGGCTCCTACTGGCCAGTTCTGGTTCATTTGCTACACTTCTAACCTGTTCCCCGACTCTACCCCATCACTGTCCCTCCCCTGCAAGAGATGAGAGGAAGACACAAAACCTGAGTGGGGAGAAAGGGAGCCTGCAGCTAGCCATGTATCCGTGACTCCAAGAGTCACAGATGTCCTGTCTTCAAGAGCGATTCAGTTACCAGCTTACACGGTACCTGGGAAATTGCTGACCAAGATGAAAATGTTTGAATATCAAAGAATTTCCAACACAGCATTCACACATCTCCCAAGCAACAATTCCAGGAGATCAAGGAGGCCCTGTCAGTACAGACAGCACTGCCAGTCTCGAAGTGGAGGCAGTCAACAAATTTGCCACAGAAACCCCTGGACTCACAGATTTTTTTCAAAGGTCCACAGGACCAGGATCGGGACAGGTAGGACACCATGCAATCCACTTGCTCTTTTGCGCTCGACTATGTAAGGACTGGCCCTCCCCTCTGGCCAGCCCTTCCTAGTGCGGGAGCTGGGACCGCAAACCAAAGACCCTCCAGGTCTTAAGACTCCCAGGCCCTGGAGGTGGTGTCCTCAAAAACCTGAAATCATGTGTGTGGGGGAGGAGCACCCAAGCCCCAGAGCAGCCGCTGGACACACTCCAGGTAACGTGAAAACAACATGTGCAAACAAAGCCCCTGAGCCAGGAAGACCAGTGCCCCGGGAGGGCCATGCTGAACTCCGACCCTGAGGTTCACCAGAGGGGAGTGTAACAGGGCAGTGTCAGGTATGGCTCTGTGTGACCTGGTCAGTTATATCGCTGGAACACTGGCACAAAAGGGACCAAGGTAAACAAATTTATTTTGGGGACAATTCCCTTTGAAAGTGGATCTCTATCTTTAGGAGACAAAAGGAAATGCTGGGCTGAACTCCTGTCCCCTGGTCTGGAGGGCCACAAGCTCACCTACACTCTGCTGTGGGCTCTGGCTTCGGTAGCCAGACCTAGGTGAGCCTCACCTTCAAGAACAGCGATGAACCCACAGACGCGCAGTGCCATCAGAGATGATCAGACACCCCATGGCAAGACCCCGTTCTGTACTGTCTCCTCAATGCCAAGGTAAGGCAAGTGCACCTGATCACAAAAGGTTCCACAAGGACCAGGCAGGGGGCACCATGCCCATCACACAGGGCAACTCAACTCCCCACCATCTGCCACCCACGCTCTTTCCTTGGGACTCTAGCTGTGGCCAAAAACCATGTGAATCTGGAGAGCAGAGACCCCCTGGGGCTCTCATGCAGTAGACACTCAGAAGCGGGGTGGCAGGCAGCATGTCACATTCTAAGTAAAAGAGCTAGAGGGTAAAACACTCCAATGCCAATTTATTTTTTTAAAAGGGTCTGTGTAATTCTAAGGTTGGTTTGCCTTTTTTTGGTATAATTGTACAACCTTTGAAAATTACATACGTTGTAATGATCTAATACTATTAATAGTCATTCAGAAAAAACTTTTTCTCCCTCCCAACAACCATCCAGGGGGGAATTAAAAGTCCTGAAAAGAGGCCAATTCAACATGGCCTCTTTCATAGTAGAAACGAAAAGCGAAAAGATGAGAGGAAAACAGAAACTGACTAAGAGGTGTGTGGCCAGTGTCTCTCGGGAGTGGGGTCCTGGCTGTTGCCTGGGGTCGTGAAAGGCGGAGAGCCTGCAGCATGCAGCACGGCAGCCGGGAGACCTCGCAGCCACATGTTCCTCACTCCGGCACGCCGTGTCCCAGCCTAGGTGTCGTGGAAATCCTTCAGCAGGGTTCTCCTCCGCTGCTCTGCTATGTGCATCTGGTTTTCTAAGTCCTGCAGCAGGGAAGCAAGATGGGTGCTCGCATGGCCCAGCCCTGTGAGCGAGGAGCGGCCAAAGCCACGCCCACAGTGTCAGGGGCTCAGAGGAGTCAAAAGCAAGGCCCGTCCCCCGCTTCTCAGCAGCAGCTTCCAGTCCACGTAACGACCCCGTCACATGTTAATGCCAGTCCCGTCGCCTGCAAGAGGGTCCAAGAGGCCAGCAGGCACTTACCCCTCGGTCATAGCTGTCCGCACGCTCCACTTTCCATGACAGGTTTTCGATCTCAGCCTCTAGTTGAGCCTGCTGGTATTCAAACTGTATGGGCAGAGCAGGAGGGTCAAAAGGAGAAGGGGCCGTAGCTGGGGCAGGGCCTGCAGATGGAGGGGCAGACGCAGCACCTCAGGCTCGCATGAGCTACGACAACCCCAAGGCTGTCCTCAGGGAGCAGTGTTAACTGCTGTACCCAGAGACAGAACCCAATCGAAAGACGACCCCAACAGTACAGCCCAAGGGCAAGGCTACGCTCACTCTCCACCCACAAAGGGCAAGAATTTAAGCAGCTGAAGAGAATGCTCCCAACATATACGGGGAAACAGCTGCTGTAAAAACAAGTCAAAATGGATATTCTTAGACACTGTGCTCCCTGAATACTTCGTTTCTTTCAGCCCTTCTGCAAGTCAGGTCTTCAAAATAATTAAAACATCTGACTTAGTAACTATACATGTAAGCTTTATGCACAAAAGGTTCTTCAAGGTCTTATTTGTTTACATTTATTGGGGTGACACTGGTTAATAAAATTATATAGGTTTCAAGTGTATCAATGTCTTACTTATGTAACAGTAAAAAGTAAACAATGCCCCCAATCATGGTATGCCCATATAATGGAACCTTTATGCAACTATTAAAAAATGGTATTTACCAGCCTGATAAATGAAAACTGCAAAAATAAACTGCTATAAAAGAAAGTGATGTGTGTGTGATGTGTGTGTGATGTGTGTGTGTGTGTGTGTGTGTGTGTGTGTGTGTGTGTGTGTCTGTGTGTATGTGTAACCTAGATTATACAAAAACTATTTTTAAAAGGCTGGAAAATGTTAACAGTGGTCATTTCTTTCTAGTGGGAATATGGATGATGTAAATGTTTTTCTATGTTTTTCAACATTTAAGCAAATGTGAATTACTTTATAATTGGGGGGGGGGGCAACAATTCCTATCTAAGATGAAGAATTAAACAAAGATGTAAAAAATCCACTCTCATTTAGGGACATGCATGCTGGTTATCCTCTCAAAGCATGGACACCACCCTCCCAAGTGGCCACAGACCTTTTCAGGAAGTTGCCCTATAAAATGGCCATGTTCAGGGGCTTCTTCGGTATAACTGCCTTATAATTACACAAAATGCCAGCCCCTGAGACCTATTTTGGAGATGCCTAGGAGAGATAAAATTTCATAACCGACAGTTTTGATTTTGCCCTCCCAGGAACCAGAACACCTCTGAAGGTAAGAGGGCAGAAGAGAGGGGCTGCCTCGCCTTACCAGCTTCTTCCTGGGTCCAGACTCCATGTAGTACGCATACGGGTACGTGTATTGCAGGGTGTATCGACACTGCAATAGGAGAGAAGAGAAGGTACCTGTGTCTATGATTCTAACCCACATGCATCTCAGGTGTTTATAATTCTTACTCCACCATGCAAGTTAGCCTGGCTCTACAGGTATGGGCCTGAAGGAAATGAGGCCAACCCAAATAAAGAATGAAGTGGGGGATAACATGGGGGGAAAAAATGAAACAAAAGTGGCCACAGAACACCCACAGTTCCTTTTTTAAACTGATTATTTACCAGCAGCTGCCTCAATGGCTCTTCCCTCTTGAGTCGGACATCAGAGTCCACACATTATCTCAATAACTGTCCAAAGACAATCTCTTATTTTCCTTTGAGTGATGCATGGATGGGACAAAGAAGAAAAGGGCTCTAGCTTCCCCGCAGTTCCTTCCCTGCAGGCAGAGGCAGTGGAGCACTCCTGGAATCCCGCTGGACGCCAGCAGAGGATGGCGTCCTCAGTGGGCACCGCCCAGGCAAACGTGGACGCAGAGACCGAAGGGTGCAGGGCCGCACAGGGAGCTAAATCCCCTTGCCCTCTACAGTGATTCCCGCCCTCAGAGGTCTGGGCCTGACGGGGCCAGGTACTGGACCGGGGATCAGAAGAGTCAGGTGGTACAGACCTTGGCCAAGAGCTTGGCAGCGTTCTGTAGGTACTGCCAGTCGATCCACGTCCCCAGATTATTCATGACCCTCTCCTGAATCTTCTCATGAATCCGCTGGTACGTCTGTGCCTCCAGCTGCAAGCTCTTGTTGTGGTTTTCCCACTACAGGGTACAGAGGAAGGAGAAAGCTGTAGAAGCCCTGGGAAGGTACAGAGGTCCACGCGAGAGTTCAGAATAGACACCTCAGCCAGCAGGGCGTGGCCACAGCCTCCACTAACTCACGGGGACTGTGTGTCCTTGAGAGTGCAGGAGGGGAACCTCTCCGGTGCACACTCCTCACCCTGTCCAGAGCGGCTGTCGCCCACCAGATCACTCTGCCCTCTGGGGCAGCAGAGCTCCAGCCTGAGGACTAACAGGTACCCACTGGTCTACTGTGCTTAGTTCTGTGGGCTTCTAAAGGGTCTCCTTGCAAGGAACTGCCCTCTAAATCTGACTGTTAAGATGGCATTGGGTGGAAGACTATCTGATGGTCCTTCATTGTCCTTCAATCCATCATTCAAATGGTCAGTACCGCATCCTTCCATGTCAGACGCGGCTACCCTATAGAGCCCGAAAGCCCCATTTATGGAGGCACCAGCCGGGGCCTATACAGCCCGAAAGCTCCATCTATGGAGGCACCAGCCGGGGCCACGACCGGAGCGCCAGTCCCTGACTTCTGTGTGCACACACTGGGTCTGGCTACCAGTCCCCGGCAACGCTGCCCCAGTAGGCCGACTGGAAGCAGACCATACTCATGGAGAGGCCACAGGAGAGGACACTCACCCGCTCAAAGTAGAACAAGTACTTCTTGAGGGCCTCCCTGGCTTGGGCTTGCTGGCTCTGGTTGACAATGTCGGGGTTCTCTTTGTACCGGCTGCACTCATAGTACTCACTGCCGTGGGTCTTCCAGTCTCCTAGACACATCCAGCAGAAGTCTGCACAGAACAGAAAACGAGGCGTTTACGCCCTCAAGATAAGCCCACATTCCTCCAAAGGCATAGGCAAAGCAGTGGGACAGACGGTTCTGCTGGGTTAGGGATGAGGGCGTCACCTGACCAGAATTTCCCAAGGGTGCCTGTTTGCAGAGGGAATGTGCGCCTCTCATTTTGTCATACCCCACTGTCCCTGCAGCCTGTCCTTACCCATCTGAATGATAGCCTACGGATATTTTCAGTTCCATGAGCATATATGATTGTACCGTTTTAATCCAATGCAGGCAGATGTTGACTGTACAAGACCACTAGTCTGCTGTGTCAATGCCACTGTGAGAAGCAGAAGCTTGCCCGACTGAGGCCTACCTGGTCATGCAGAACACACATTCGCCCTCCTGACTACCTCCCACCCTTACAACACCTGTCTTAGGAAGATTTTGTACACGAAACTGGGAATAAAGGCCTTTTCCTTTTTTTTCTCTTTTAAAAAGCTTATTTCTATAAAACCTAAAGCTACTTAATAGTTCACACCCAGCATTATGACTGCTTCCACACTGCAAAAGCAAAAAGGGAAAAATAAAGATCCCTCATGAATACTATACATCTAAACGATTTCTGTGGTCTGATGAAGGGGGCTGACCGCCACTGTCAGACGTCAGAACCTGGTCTAGATTTCGTCTCTGCCAGAGACCCGACAGTGGTGAAGCCTGTTTCCCAGGATTTACTCCTGCAAGTTGGCTCACCGACTTCCCAAAAGGGACTCCTGTAAAATTTAGGAAAGCTAAAGCCAAACCCAGAGACCCAGAGATCCTTCACTTCTCTTCTCTTGAGGGCCTTCACTGAACACTAGCAACATCACTCTCCCCTTAGTGGGCTGGGCTGGGCTGGGCTTTCTGTTTTAAATACCACCACAGTGCTTAGGGTTCCCCGCACAGGTGGGAAAACTACACAGCGACGCCAAGGATGAGAGTTAACTCTAGGCGGCGTGGGATGAGGAGACTATGACTGGGGAGGGATGCTCAGGGAACTTCTCAGGTACTCGGAATGTGGGTGTGTTCACTCTGTATATCTTTAGATTGTACATGTGCCTTACACATTGTTCTAAGTGACACACGTCCCTCTCACTTAAACACATACAGAAAGATAGAGTGAGATGCCACCTCTACCCTTGGTATTTTCACTTCACACTTCAGAGTCCCCTTCTAAGACCCTGCCACGTCCACTGATTACAGCGAGCTCCTGGGGAAACACAGGGATGGCATGAGACTGGCCCTTACAAAGAGAAACTTTCACGGCCTCCTGGTCAGCACCTGAGCAGCTGTATACGAGAACTATTTGGGCATATTTTCTACTTGAAGGAATTTTATTTATTTTTTGATCTGGCAGGAAGGAAAGCAAAACCAACAGGTTCTATGTAACCTACTCCTGAAAGATGAAGAAGGCCTGAAAGGCCAAATCAAAAACCCGTTTGAAAAGTATAAAACCTCAAAGGAAAACTATTATTTTATTATTTCCAGTAACACCATGTATAGCCTGTTTTGCTAGGTATCTGTAAGGTAGCACAGATAAGCCCCATACTACTTACCTGCCTTGGCAAAAATAAAAATAACATGCTAAAATCTTCTCGGATGGCTGAGGATCGTGGAGGTCTAAGAGTCATCCCAAACTTAACTTCTGACTACATGTGTCAGCAAGATGGCAGTGGGATTGCAAGAGGGACCAAAAAAATCGTAAATATTATATGACTCTGAGTGAGGCTGCTCTTTGTTTTGTCACATCCCTACAAAAGTACTCACTAAACAAGCGACAGAGACCCATGCACAAGAAACAGAGACTGTGCCACTGGGCCTTGAGCACCAAGCCTGGACTCACCGTGTTTACACTTGGAGCATTGCTGTCAGAGGGAAACAGAAGAGAACATGTTAAGGGCATGCTGACCAAAGGCTCGATGTCACATATGCAAAGGGTACAGGCTTCTGCTCACCATGTGATTGCAGCCTCCGTTCTTCTCAATACAGATGTTGCACTTGGGACACTGAGGAGACAGAAGGGTGCCATTAGGCTTACGCACCATCGGGCCGGTTCTAAGACAAATTACATAAAGCTCCCGGCACCCGTGCTCAGTAACTCATCGTGCGAGCACTTCTGGGGAGGAGCATCTCACTTAAATGTGGCAGGTCGCTGAGGCTGGAACAGCAATCCAAGGAAATGAGGTCAGCATATTCGGCTCTGAAACACTCCAAGCACCAGCTGAGCCCCACTAAGTCTTCTGCCATCTGTCCCTGCCACGGGCCACTCAGATTAAGCACAAGCTGAGTCAGCAGAAAGCCTGCCTGTGCAGGAGGGAGGCCAAAGCAGCACAAAAGCTGGTCTAAGTCCTGGTCAGTCTGCCCGAACTTCTGCTTCTAGATGAGGGCAAGGAAGCAGCCTCTACAGCTCGCTCACTCACACTTCAGCGATGCCAGCACCCCCAGGAAACACTGCAGAGGCCAACCTGATGCTGTACCATGAAATGAACTTTGTTTAATGATGTCATGGTCACAGCTGTGATTTTGAGTGCATCAATTCAGCGCGTGACTGGCACAGGGTAGGGCCCTGGGTGCTGAGTCATCCAAGGCTCAAGGGGCTGCAGGCCGTGCTTTTCCATGGGAAATTTCCGAATAAGAATTGGTAGGCCTGGGCTTGCATTACAGCCTTGCTATTATTAAGTGTGGCTATCAACCACCTCCGCCCTAGGACCATTAAAGCCTGGGAGGCATTCAATAAAACCTGATTTTCTTTTTCTAATTAGTCCTCCTAACTTTCCCAGGCATTTCAGCATTTTATTAAAATAAAGACACCAATGCATACTATAATAAACTGCTGCTAACTCTGCCAAGTCTGGGCAAGGGTCTGCAGCTTCCAGCAAGGGCCTCGGGGCCCTGGGTGTTCTGCTCTCAGATGGCAAGGCCCTGGAAGCACTGAGGAGGGCAGATCCATGACAGGTAAGATACAGTCCTTACGTCTTTAGTGTGAGCACTAATGTAGTTGGCTGTTTCAGAGTCGTCTGCACACTTCGTGAGCCATTTCCGGATTGTGGCGCAGTCTGTGGGGGCGTGATACATCTGACGACACTTGAAACTTAAAACCAGAAAAGAAAAACATTCAAATGATCATTAGGCCAGGGTGCCATGTTTTTAATTTTCCTTCTATCCAAACCAGCAGATCCTGAATTAGAGCTTTTCAGAGGGACAGTCACCTATCAAGGCCTCTGAGACCTTTTACTTACCCATGATTACACTGAAAGCTGTGTGCACTTCTCTTCAATCTAAGCCCTTCTAAGACATATTCTTGACAAACCCAAATGAAACGTTTCTGCTGTAAATATCTTGTGTGATGTCAATCCCTCCTGAAAGGATGTCAGATTCAGAATGCAGCCTCCCAGCAGGCATGGTGAGGTGCTCTGAGAAGGAGACCTCAGCTCAGACCCGAGGCAGGACCGAGATCCACTTCTGGGAACCTTGGCTTATCTCCCAGACACATGTGCACACAGGAGGCACAAATGCCAGAACTCGTGTCATCTGTAGAGGCATGACACATCTGACAATGCCTGAAACTTAAAATCGGAAAAGCAAACACTCTGACTGACACTTATTGGGCTTGACTCCCATGATTTTAATGTCCGTTTTGCCCAAGCCAATACAACTTCACGGGCAGTAAAGGCTTCAGGCAGGCAGCCTAACATGAGCCCCAGGGAAAGAAGTTCATCATGTGGGACACAAAGAATGGAGAGCAACTACATTAGCTCTTAACCTTCTGACGAGCCAGACACCCTCAACGCTGACTTGAAAGGCAGGCACATGTGCACACCGGCCACATTTTCCATGTAGTTTCTCGGAGGCCCCCCACCATGAATCTTCAAGGGAGAAGTGATCAGGGGTACAGGCCTGGACCTAAATTATGACTCTTGCCATTTCCTTGCACCTTAATTTCCTCACCTATAATGTAAGGGTAACAACAGTACCAATCGTACACAGTTGTGAAAACAAAGGTACAATAATCAGGGTAGTGTCTTTCCCCTGGTTAAGCTTCATTACACTTCGGCTAGTCCCATCACATTTACTGAATGACTGAATGGGAGCCTTGGCTCATCTCCCAGACAGATGTGCACACAGGAGGCACAAATGCCAGAAATTGTGCCATCTGCAGCGGCATGACACATCTGACAATGCTTGAAACTTAAAATCGGAAAGAAAACACTCCAACACTCATTGGACTTGACTCCCATGATTTTAATTTCCCCAAGCAGATGTAAGCTACATTATAAATTACAGTGTTATAAAGTTAGCCAAGAAAGGACAAGATAGAGAAAAATTAAAACATCAGAGATTGCAGCTTTCAAAAATTAATATGTAAATGATCTGTGCAAGTAGGTACACACACAATCTCCGGGCCACGAGTCGGCAGCATAAACCATACCACATTCTCCATGAATCTGTGCCACTTTCTTGTCTCCAGACTGAGCATTATCGAACATCACATGGAACATGAGATGCTAGGTACAAACTCTGCCCACCTGGAGCAGAGCTGCTCTGCTGGTTCGAAAACCCTGTCTCTCGCAGCCCCACCCTCACACAGAGCAACGGCAGTGGTGCTTTGAAGGGGGGTGGCACCAGCCCAGGTCTGCTCAGCACCCACACTCACTCTTACCAGAAGACCTCGTTGCACCGATTGCACTGTACTCGGCGAGCTCTGGGCTCCTGTACCTGGATAACCATGGGACAGTCCGCACCGGGGCATAGCTGGAGCTGGTAATGACTCTGTGAACACACCAAGGGGAAACAATGAGGCCATCCGCTAGTCGCTGCCTCTAAATCAGCCCTCCCGGAGTGCTCAAATGCCTGCTCTTCCAGCCGATGACTTACATCAAGGGGCTATCGGAACTCAGGCCGAACGTTGTGAAGACCAGACATCAGACAGATATTGACGAAGACCTTTGACTGTTTAGTTAAACTAGGCAGCAACTCACTAGAATGATCTAAGGTTAGATTACAACATGGAATACAGAATTGCATCTGTGAGATGAAAGTGCAAAGGGCCTAAGGCTGGAAACGAACACAGCCTAATGAACTGTACATAAGATCCTGAGAGGCTCAATGACCCTCAGCCATCTACCAAAAGCAGCAAACAGCACAAGACACAAGGCATTCTGCAGCATGTGCATAGGAAGACCCACACTATTAATCAATTCAGTAAGCTTAGACATAAAAAAGATGAAAACTATGTAGCCTGGAATCACAGCAAGCCTGAAAAGGTAGCCCAGTAAAGGGGCAGGACTCCAAAATTGATCACGCTGGAATCCTGGACAAGTTTTCAAACTGCACAAGAAGCGATGCCTTTTCTCTTTGCTGACTCATGGTGAACAGAATGGAACAGCACCTCCTGAGACTTGCCTGACTTGTGTTCATCCCCTGGCATATGACAGCTTGTTTAAGCAACTGTATATAAGGTGGAGATGACTCACCACTCTACAAGAGAAAACCAAGGCTCGAAGAGGTAAAATAATGGGGCAAAGGCTATACAGCAAGGAAGCAATAGACCTCCTGGAATTCACACGATTGTCTTTCTGACTCCAGGGCCTATATTCTACATTACCATTTTAGTGGTTTCATACATTTTTTTAAAACATGGAACTCTTTCTTCAAATGCCAGCACCCAATGGCAGCCCTAGGCTACACAGCAATTACAGGACAGAGGGCACAGCAACAGGAGCCAGTCATACCTCCACATAGTCCCTGAAGAGGTAGCGCCTGTATTTGTCTCTCAGTTCTTCGTTGGGCAACAGTGGGAACACAAAGTCCTCTGGTGTTCGAAGTGGGCAGTCCTGAGCCATGCAAGAGACTCCTGTTGAATAAAGAGAACCTGATGGACAACTGTATTGCAGAAGACAAGACTGGTTATATCTGCCCAGTGAGTTTAACTGACAAATTCAGATTCCACGGAGGAAACCCTTAAAGCAACAGAATTTATTCAAAGAAGAGAGAAATTAATATAGCTACACAGTGATGCAACTAAAATATTCTCCCAAGTTATATATACATTATAAATAGCACCACTAGAAAATATAATTTTTTAAATCTTATAGGGTTCTTGACTAACAATTTAGTTTTGGGACATTTAATATTATGTGTCTTGATCATCAACACATGAGATTTTGCAGCTACAGTTACTGTGATGCTAACTGTTTCGATATCATCAAGTCATAATATAACAAATACTCCTGGTAACTGATCATCGAATGTGATTTTTTGCTATGTTACGTAAATAGCAACAAACTCTCTAGGTGTTTCTGAATTATGGCTGCTACTTGGGGAATCAAGATAGGGTAGGCAGCTTAAAGGACAGTTCTCCCAAAAGTCCTCCCAAGAAATAGCCTGCACTCACACCAATATTTACACATATGCCTAAACAATAGCCTTAATTTTCTCATTTGCTCAGGACTGGGGAAAACTTTGGCATTATTCAGACTGATGTCTGAAAACCAATGGCTCTGACAATAAAAACCTCAATCAGGCTCAGAAGAAAGCACTCAGCTGATCTGAGTCCTGGAAAGGGCAGAGTCAGAAATAAATACTTCGAGCCAGACCTTTACAAATCCGCTGGCAGACTCACCCACGCCCACGCCGTCTTTGACGAGCACTGAGCAGTGCTGCTCCCAGCAGCTGCGGCAAAACTGGTGCTGACAGGCCAGAGAGAGCAGGTTTTCCTTCCGCACGAACTGCATACACACTGCGCAGTGGTGAGGGGGATGGGCTGTCGGGACCTGGGGAGAGGCAGAGCCATGTGAGTCAAAGAGCAGCCTTCGGTTCCTGGGAGGCCACGGGTGCCTCGTGTAGCTGGGTGCACGGGAGGTAGTCCTGACCCTGCAGTGAGTGAGAACTCAGCTGCAGCGTGCGGACTCCGGGAGACCCGAGTTCTGAGCAGAAAGCATCTATCAGAAAGGCTTCCCGAAGAAGGTGGCATGTGAGCGGGGCTTGCAGCACCACCAGGACTCAGACAGGCAGAGAGAAGGCCAACGTGAGAACTTACAGCAGTGCATAATGCGGGCTGAAAAGCTAGGGTTTCCGAATTGCCAAGGTCTTCGGGGGTCACTCAGTCCAACTGCTTTTGGAGCCTTAGTTTCTTTTGTCAACTGCCCCCCACTCACCACAGCACAGAGCTGCCCCTCAATACGTACTACAAGTCATAAAGGTTCTTACAGGCTGAGTGTGTAAAGCTTCTAACAGCCCACGCTGAAGTGTGACTTAGCAAAGACAGTGTCTTCCCATATCCGTTATGTCTAAGATACAAAACATTACAGCTTTTACCAAGTTACAACTCTTCCTTCACACACCGAAGAGATGTTACATACAATTAATTTAGAGGGTTGAGGAAGGCTCCTACTAGGGAAGAAACTCCTCCAAGATGTGGGCAAATAACTATAAAGCTGGAACTGCAGGATCCCTGCCATGCTACACAAGGTGACAAAGACAACCTGGGATCCTGGTCAAAACCATGACCAATGGAGAAAGTCTACCACGAGTCTACATTAGGTGCTTGTTAGTTCACTGGAAATACAAAAACAATCTGAAGAAAAGAATCGTATTCCCATGTCTATCCGGTATGCTCCTGGAAATTTTCTCGTTAAGAGGCTGCAGAAGTTCTGTGGTGATCTGAGCCCAATTCTCCCTCCTGGGAGCTCTTTTGACACGGCCCTCATTCATTTAACAAATATTTGTTGAACTCCTAGACACACAAGAAATTGTTAGGCATTGTAAAATATGGTTCCTATCCTGAAAGCACTTATAGTCTGAGGGGAGAACTGAAAAGATGACTGAAACACTACAACATACATGTAAAGGTTTAAAAATATAACTAGAGGAGTTTGGAGGGGAGTGATCACAGGAGACAGGCTTTGTGAGAGACAGGGTGCGTCTGAGTCTTTAAAAGTGAGTTCCATTCCCACAAGCAAAGATGGGGCCAGAGAAGACCCAAGCAGAGTCCAAGAGGCATGCGGTGAGCATGGGGACACCAAGGGACTCAGCAGAACGGAGTGCAGGCTGTGTGTAAGCGCAAAGACGAAGCTGAGGCTGCAGAGGGCCCCACGACTGGCAATGACTTATTCCTCATTTTGAGGAAACTTTTCAAAATATAATGAAAATGAAAGATTTAGGCCTCTACTGGAACAAATACCTTAAGCATGTTGCACTATCAACAAACCAAGATGGCTCTCACTAGCACTGTACGTCACAGCAAGAGCCATATGCATTAGGAGAAGCCTCGCACAAGGAGACACTCACATGTTTTGATGGATTGGGCTGAACTCGAGCCTCAACAAGCAGCTGAGCAGAATTAGACTTGTATCTACAAAACAAAAAGCAGAAATAAAGGGAATCAGGAACTGAAGACAAACATTTTTACCTCCTAAGAAAAACAGAAGAGACCAACATGTGATGCGGTCACACGAAAGTGTCTTTGTTTCTAATTACTTTGTCACAGAACCAAACTTCCTTTTACCTTAGTACTAATACTTGTTTTCTCTTTCAAATTTTCAGCTCTTAATTGGTATGAGAATAATAACCCTGACTTGAAAGCACTGAACTGTAAAAAAATACTTATGAGGGACCACTTCTGCTTTAAATCTCTTTCTGGAAATATAGGCAAATATTTCTAAGGCTTCAAAATAGGAAAGGACATTTTAAGATACAGAAAATGCAAAGCATAAAGGAAAACTGACAATTATGCTATGGTTAAAAACTTCAGTTCATCAGGAGACACCATAAAGTAAAAAGCCAAGCTATAAACTAGGAGATAATTCAATACATATACTGGCAAAGAACTGCTATTCAGAATTAAAAAAAAAAAAAAAAAATCCTAAAAGTCCGCTTGAAAAGACAAAATAACAATTAAAATAGGCAAACAAGAGAACAAGCATTTCATAGAAGACAAAGCAGAAAGGGGCATTAAACATATGAAAAGATGCTCAATCTTCTTAATAATTAGGAACATTGAGATTAAAAACAATTAGATGTCATCATTTACACCCACCGGATTGTAAAACTAAGTGTGACAGTACTAGGAACACTCATATACACTGGTGGGTGTGTAGCATGGTACAATCACTCTGGAAGACATTTTGGCATTATCTAGTAGAGCTTTAGAAACAAATACCCTACAGTCCATTACTCACTCTCTATACTCAGTCCTACAAAACTTACACGACACTAGGATTCATGTACAGTTCTCAGAGCTGCATTATTTGTAACAGCAAAAAATCCTTCACAAATGGTTTTTTGAGGATGAATAAGATGTCATAAAATGCAACCTTGTTAGTGATTTTAAAAATTGAAAACATATAGCATGATATGTCTGTAAAGTTCTTAAAAAAAAAAAAAAAACCCTAAAACTACAAGATATATAACTTAAGAAGAAATAAGAGAATGATCAATCCCGAATTCAAGTTACTGGTTGCTTTAGAGGGTGTGGCCAGGCAGGAATCACTGCCACAGGGTCCCCCCGCCACTCCTTACAGGTGAGAGTTTCTTTTTTGGGTGGACACTTAAGTGTTTGCTTTATTATTCTTTAAAATCTACACACATCACACATGCATGCACACAGACACACATTTTTTAATAGAAATATTCCATAATAAAAATTTCATTCCTTCTAGAATGAGATATCGCATAAATACATTTAAAAATAAAAACAATCATTATGTGGCAATAAAGGTGCCACAAAAGGCCCAGGAAAATGCATTACCAAGATACCAGGAATCTGAGCAGGGAAGAATTACGTTTCATATATGTAATATACTGACTCTACCTAGTCAGAAACGCCTCCTCCAACTATTTTAACTCCTACTTCTCAAACTAGTATTCTTAATATCGTTAACCACTCAAATTTTCTGTTTCCAAATTATGCTAAAGAGTGTGGACAGTGAGAGATATCCAACCTCCCTCCGGAACCCACGTGGCTGCAGAGTCTGGGGTCACGGTAATGTGGTGCAGACAGTGGAAGTTCATCTGCAAGTCTATCCAAATAAATTCAGCTCTTGCGTATAGACAGTAAAGTGCACTTAGTGAATCAGGAACATGTTTGCTCTTTTCCGAATGAGATGAGGCACTCCAGCTGGTATGGCCGCCCCGGCTGTGTTTAGCCTGGAGAAGGAGAGGCATGACCTTCCTCTGCACATTCATGGAATCACACTGTAGAGATGGACTCACAGGAGCATGAAAAGGCAGGATGGAGACCAGTGCTTCTCACCAGGAGAAATTTCGCACTCTAGGGGTTATCTGGCAGTGTCTGGAGACATTTCTGATTTTAAGGACTTGAAGGTACTACTGACCTATAGTAGGTAGAGCCTAGGGATTCTGCCAAACCTCCTACAATTCTCAGGACAGTCCCCCCACAACAGTTATGTAGCCCAAAATGTCAATAGTGCTGAGGATGAGAAAGCACACGCCTGTGTGGCGGCGGGGGTACAGGGAATGTCTCCAGAGGACCAGGGGGAGAAACCCCTCCTCCTGCCAACTTCCAAGATACCTTGGGACTCCCAAGTCTGTGCCTCAAGAGCTCTGGTTCTGGAGGTGGGTGGAAAACTGGCCAAGCTTTTCTGAAGATAATATGTGCTATATTATGATGCATTCCTCTTGACGTATCCAAAAGAAATAAGTAAAGATGTTGGCAAGTGTTGTCTAGAAGGGCACCGATTACAAATTAACAGGGGCATAAAAAATTTGAACTTCACTGTTCAACAGCAGAGGTTTGGGAAAATGTATGCAACATCTATATGATGAAATACTGTGCCTGCAATAAAACTGGAGTAGAAATATGTAAAAAGTATATGGGGAATGTTCACCCTAAACAGAAAAAAGGATATACAATGTGACCCAATGTTTTAAAAATATAGTATGTACACTGTGAGGATAGATTCTGAAACATAAACAATAATTGCCACTGGGTGGGCGGGCAGAGAGAGGAGCCACGGCTGATGCCATCTCCTCTGCAAACACCTTACCTGTCCAATATCTCTGCAACTTGCCAGTGGAAATTAACTAATATAAGTTTAGCAACTGAATGAGATACCTAGAAAGAAAGAAAAAAATCAAATTATAACTAGTTTCTTTCAGAGCCCTCTACATTTTGAGAAATGTTTATATTCATATCTACAGCAGGCCCAGGCTTGATATCCAAATTCTTCCTCTTGGTTCTCTGCTTTGTCTTTTAAGTTCACTTTTATAATCTTATTTCCTGAATCACCTCAATTTTTTTCTTTGTTTTCATTAATGACTCTTCCAAGAAATTAATTTGAATTGAAACTTAAGCAAAACCACCCCATGCACAGTAAATAATGTTCCAGCATCCAATTTAAGCAGCTATAAGAGCTATGGGCTCCCTAATGTGATATAGTCCTCACACGCTGCTGTAGGAGGCCACGCACAGGAAGCGTATTTTTTGTTAGGCCCGCTACTTGCAGAAAATCTCCAGGCTTGGAATTCTTGTATAAATTCAGCAAAACAAAGGAGAACAAACAAAAAAACACCCGCTTAAAATCTCTGAATGCCCAGCAACCAGGGAGCCCTAATTGCGAGGATAATTTAAAAGTCTGCAGGCAGCCGTTCTGGCTCCTATACTCTTTTAAAGCACATTGGTTACGGCTACCGAGAGCCTCAGAGGGTGCTCCAAGCTAACAATTCTACTTCTGTAAAATTTTCTGAGGAATTGATAGAGGATATGTGTACCACAGTGTTTTACAAGAGTAAAAAATTAGAAATAAGCTCAACAAAAAGGAACTAGATAAATAATGCATGAGATCTGTGCAGGGTCTACTATGTAGTCACTGAAAAGAATGTTGCAGTTTATTGATATAGAAAGAAGTTCACTTTTTAATCTCAGGTTAAAGAAGCCAGTAAGTAGTAAGATGTATATGTTATAGCCAATATCTTGTTAATAGAGGAAGTAAGCTAGTTACAAAACAGACCACCCTGGGAGTTAAGACCCGGATGGGGCCAGAAGATTGAGATGTGCGTGGATGCCTAACCAGGCTTCTCAAGGAGCACTGCTGCTGCACGAGGGTGCTACTGTATCGAGGAGAAAGGAGGAGCACGCTTCAGGCCAGGAAGCAAGAGAACACACAGAACCTTGGTATTCTGCTCACTGCACTGAGTCTTTCAAAGAGGAACCACCAAGGATGAGTACGGCAGTGCAAGCCTGGTCCACAGATAAGAACTGCAGCGGGGAAGACACGCAGTAAACCAACGTGTGATCCCTGCTCCTTGTGCTTAAGTCACTTCTGCAAGGAGGCAGATGCAGCCCTACAAGAAAGTGGCATGCACAATCAGTGTCAAAGGTGTGCAGTGAGTGGCTGCCTTCCTGTCCTAAAGCCCAGGAACATATGAAGAAAACCAAGGACTCAAGACAGCTTGCTTCACTGCGGGTGGTGGGTATGGAGGGGTAGCACTTCCTTTCCATGCAAGGCAAGAGGCATCTGACTCATGCATCTTGCTACAGTGTTGTTTTTTGTTGAGGCCCATGGAGACTTTAGGCCTAGAACTCCTCAATTATAGCTAACATTTCTTTTAATTGTTAGAACTATTCGAAACAAAACTATCCATCCACAACAGACCACTATCACAAAACCACCCCAGAGACAAAATATTTGCTTTAAACTTTAACTGCCTGAATGTAGCTTTTAGCTACAAATACATTTTTAAAACCTGATAGTGATACTGTTTAAAAATGAGCTTTTCCACCATCTCTTACCCAAATGGGGCCCAGTCAGCCCTGCACCACTGCCTTCCGTCTGAACTTCTACATGTCTCGCCAGGTCCTATCGAAGGCTGTGAGTCACGCAGGAAACCCACAGGAGTCCTGGCCTCCTCCCCAGGTCACCGTAGATGGCTCAGGTGAAGCCTCTAAGCTCAGAGCAGGGAGCCAGGTTGCCTCTCACAGACCTGCAGTACCTGGGACGGGACTGGCCACTAAATACATGCTGGTCACTAAATTACATCATGTCTTTAATCTGTGTATTTTCAGAATAGAATCTGACCATCTCAAAGAAACAGAATTTGAACACTATACCTGGTCTGATCACTTAATCTCAACAGCACTAACAGTAGCAACAAAGCCTCAGGATTTGCACACCAGGTGCAGCCCACCTATGGAAAACAACACGGCCCTGTGTTGAAAGTTTTATCGATGACTAGAAGTCCACTAATGACAAAACCAGAATATCCCAGTGGAGTTGAGTTTTGGTGAGAACAAATGTGAAGAGAGGATGCATCTAACAGTTCATAAAAATTGGCTGTTGAGTGATGTGAATCTATTCTTTTGGTACTAACAGTCAAGAAATACCAACATAAACAAGGTAGTAGGCACACATACGTCAGCTGTATGCACCTCCCACTAGCCTTCTGCAGGAGGCGCTACTGCTGTCCACACACCACAGATGGGGGTGTGGGAATAGCCTATGCCACGCCCACTGTAGAGCATAGAAACATGAAGGAGTTCTGAGATCATTAATTTAGGCAAATGCAGTGTGACTGCATCTCATCCAGTAATGGACACCGAGGAAGATCTGCAGGGAAGTCGGGCTCCAAAAGGCTCTCAGCAAAAGCACAGGGTGGAAGAAGAGTACTTAGTGTAAAGAGTACACTTTATACTAAAAAGAGTCTCAGCATTTTTTTTAGGAAAGCCAGGCCCTTCCTGATCTGGGTCACAAGAGAAAACTGGCTGCATACCCCCTCCCACTCCCCCAGCAGTCCCAGAGGAAGCGACCTCTGGTGATTTCGGGGCAGAAAGCAGGGTGGGGGAGTGGCCACTACTTAAGCCACCTTCAGCAGGCAGGCCAGGATAAACATTGGATGATATTTATACATTAAAGATAAAAACCTGTCTTTCTCAGAGTCCAAACAGCTGAGCTCTCTCAGGAACAAAGTTCCTGAGTATTCACACCATTACTGCAATGCTTAACGAGCTCAGCAATCCATTCTCCATTTACGAGAGTCGACATTTTCCAACTGGTGAACAAGCCTTCCACTCTCCTGTATGTGTTCAATTGTGGAGAAAAGAACCTTTCCGCAGAATCAAAACGAACTCTTGCTGATCTGTTTTGATCCAGAAATTAATAACCTGTTATAGCCAGGATTATGTACAGTTCACCCTTAGACAACACAGGTTTGAATTGCATGGGTTCTCTTACATGCGGGGGTTTTCCAAATGACCTGTCCAGTTCAAATCTGTGCTGTTCAAGGGTCAATTCCGAGGCTGGGAACCCAAACGTGCAGAGTGCCGAGTGCAATTACACTCGGGTTTCTGACTGTGTGGAGCTCCGTGCCCCTAACCCCCGCATTGTTCAAGGGTCAACTGTATCATCCAGAAGGACTTACAATGAAAAAGTCAAACCTTTTCCCAAAGGAAAATGGGTCTAGTGTGGTAATACACCACTGAAAGCCAAAACAGACTAATGACTTAGGAAGGAACACATGTGGCCACGTCATGTTCAAGTTAAATCTGTAGTTCTATTAGATCAACGTGTAATAAGATTACAAGTTTTATTTATTTGAGTCCTTTTTCTACTTCTGGAACACTAATTGAGGAAAAGACTAGCAACTAAGAACCAAAAAGTTTCTTCTATAAAAATTTGTAGTCTCAAGGTAATTACAGATTAATCTGAGCCTTTACTCAAAGAAACAGAATCACAGAGTCCATCACTTTCTCCATCTCAGGGGCCAAAGAGGAATGGGTCACTTTTTCAGCATGCCTGTGACTCTCACCCTCATCTGCATTGCAAACTCCAAGCTGGTGGGACCTGTCTTCTTCGACAGCCACTCTGGACTTTCACAACACCATGAGTCAGGGACAGTTAAAGTGAATTTGAACAAAGACTCTCAATAGCAAAGATGAGCTGTTTTCCTATCTCCCTCCACCCCCCAAAAAATCATGTTAAACTACATCTTAATCCCATTCTCAAGAGTCACACTTGATAATTTATATATAATACTTCAGAAAGTTTAATGCATGTGCCAAAAGCAGAAACCCAAAATCCATAGATTTGATTTTTAATTCAATTTGGTTCACAATTTGACAAGATGTTGATTCAATGCTGAATTTCAATCTATTTGGAATTGCTGACAGTGGACATCCCAAGGTATTCTTTATACATATACACTAGGCAATATAAACTCCCTTTGCTAAATTCAACAAACATTTCTTATGTCTTATCTTGTTGAAAGAATCTGACATTTACATTCCCTCTGCCTTAATAGTGCTTTTGGTCTCTGTGATGACTTTCTTGCAGCACCTGTTCAGGTACAGGCATATCCTGTTTCATGGTGCTATGCAGACATTGCGTTTTTCAGAAACTGAAGGTCTGTGGCAACCCTATGTCAAGCAAGTCTATCGGTGCCATTTTTCAGATGATGGTTAACATTTTTTAGCAATAAAGTATTTTTTAATTAAGGTATGCACGTACAGTTTTTAAAAGACATAATGCTATTGCACGCTTAATACAGTATAAACGTAACTTTTATATACACTGGGAAAACAAAAAAGTTGTGACTCACTGTACTGCAATACTCGTTTTGCTGCGGTGTCTGAAACCAAACCTGCAGTATCTCCAAGGTATGCCAGTACTCTAAATGTGTTCTTCCTTCTGTTTGCCCACCTGGCACTTGGGGCATCACTCTCACACCTTCCAAGCTAGAACCCTTGGCCTTTTGTCTCACTCTACGTCTCACTCTTCCCTACCATTCCAATCTCCCCCACCATCACCACTCCACTGCCCAATCTCAGTCCTGCCTCTACTAAGCACTCACATCAGAAGAGACTCACTTATCACCTGGACAATAGAAAGGCATCTTAGATTTACGTGCCTGTATACTGTCTGTACCCCTCCACTCCATAATCCTCAGGATGAGCTTTCCGAAGCCCTGATATAATAGTACAGTAACAGCTAATTTTTACAGAGCACTTACATCTTGCCAGGATCAGTTCCCATCCTGTTAAAAACCTATGACTGCTCTCCAGCACCAATAAGACAAATCTTAAACCCCTTATTAAAAGAGTCAAAAGATCTACCACTGAAC